GTATAACATTTTGAACACTTCATGATGATTTTATACCGCCCCAGACTGAAACTCATGTTGAAGGTTTGATCTGAATGTTCTTCGTTATATGTTTTTCTAGGTTAGGTCATATTATATTTAAAACAACCTGAATAATAGTTATGATGTTGTTAGTGATCTAAAATATTGTAATATAATTAATAAAGCTTAGGTGTAACTAACCAATACAATTTACATTATTTCCTATCCGTATATTTTGTATATTTTCATAATAATTTATACAATAGCAAATTTACTTTCATTAGTATTCATACACCTTCAATATATATCTTATGACTTTGATTTAATATTAAACAAATTATGATGACATTATACCGCCCCAGACTGAATGGTTATGTTGAAGGTTTTATCTGAATATTTGTCAATTTTAGATATTTAGTAAATTGCAATTGTTATGATGATCAAAATAGTATAATATATTAGTGTTAATAAAATATAAATTGTAATTTAATGCACTCTATGATGATTTTATACCGCCCCAGACTGAATGGTCATGTTGAAGGTTTAATCTGAGCAATAATATAATTTTTAAGTTTTATTTTTGACAATTTATGTTAATATAAAATAAAGAACTAATATTTTTTAATTGATTTTTTCTTATTATAATATTGTTTGTATTACCCTTAACTAAAAGTTGTATCTAAGTTAATTGTTTGTTGAGTACCTTAAGTATATTTGTTGTTATGATGATTATTTACCGCCCCAGACTGAATGTTATGTTGATGGTTTAACTTTACATATTTGTATGTTTAAATTTTTATAAACAATTGATAAATTAAAGATTTTCAATACATCATGTTTTAATGTTTGTAAAATACACTATTCTAACATGTATTTATGTTTAAAAAAAAAAAAATACGTATGACTTTTTTGTCTTAATTTCTTAAAGTTAGTATAAGTTTTTAAAAATGTTTGCATAAGGAGTAGGTATTGATATTTATATAAATTTTTATCATTACTATTTTTTCTTCATTTTATGAGGTTTTATTTCAGTATATCATTTGTCATAATATATATTATTTAAAATAATAAAAATGAGACATAAATATATTTTATTACTCAGAAATTATAATTGTTTTTCCATTTTTTATTTGTGTATTCTTAATTCACTTTTTTAAAGATTAATATTAAAAAATTTAAAAAATTGGATTATTATTTATCTAATTCAACAATTAAATATATTTCTTGTAATGTATCCTATAGTTTTGTATGTTAATACATATTAATAAATACTTTCTACTTACATAATGGGTATAGTTATACATTTTTGTGATAATAAATTTTAAAATCTACACTTAGAATAAACATAAATTAAAAATTAATAACATAATTTTCATAAAAAAATAAATATATTTGTTTTATTTAATTGTTTAGAATTAACATTCGTATTGAACATGTTAACCCATCAAAATGTCGAGATGATTTCTTGAAACGTGTTAAAGAAAACGAAAATAAAGTCGCTGAAGCTAAAAAGAAGGGAATCAGAGTGTGCCTTAAACGCAAAGTAAGTTTTATTTTTGTTAAAAAACTACTTTAAATTTTAAATATATATCTATAATATTTAATAGAGTAGATATCTGTAATTAATAAAAAAAATAAAATGATATTTTATTTTGATAATCTAGTTAACATATACAATAAGCAGATTTTTAAATTATATTATACATCCATTAATATTTTTGTTAGAAGCGATGATTTAAGTATGACCACATTGAATGAGTGTGAGCATATATTGTAGTTTTATAAAAGAATATATTAAATATTTACTATAAATCGAAACGAAAGATTTAAAAAATTTGTTTTATTGTTAATAACTAGAATAGTACAATTTATTTCCATCTCAATTTTTAATTTTAATTTTATAAAATGCTGGTCTTTTTAATGGATTATTTTAAATTGTTTTCATTGTTTAAATAAATTCTTTACTTATTTCTGATATAAGTAAAAAGTAGCTAATAATTTTCTATATATTTGTGAGATGTGTATGTTTTTAAAGATATTATCTATGTTCTTGCTGTAATTTTGGTATTTTAGTTACATAGTTACAAAAGGTAAGAGTTTAAATTAATTTGTTTAGGATTTTCTGTAATTTATATAGATTTTATTTAAAAATAAATAAATTTAATTATTAGGGCTGTAAATGTAATACTAAAGTCAATAAAACAATTATAACTTTTTTCTGTCTCATTATTTATACAAATTACTGTTAAGTTATAGGTATACCATTTAAATTTTAGTAAACAAACATTTGATTAAACGTTTATGTATATAATTTGTTCAATTTTTTTTCAGCCTCAAGGACCTCGACCTGGTCACATAGTAAGAGGAACGGATCCAATCAGTTTAGCTCCTCTACCTTATGAATTCATTGCTTAATTGCTGTTTTAAATATAAATGTCGATTTAAACACATTTTATCGTTTATTTTTTTCAATTATTAAATTCTTGTTTGACACTTCCTATTATTATTAATGTTTCGTTAGTCCGTATAAACAAATCC